TCTGTCTGTCGGTCTGTCTGCCTGTCTGTCTGCTTGCCTGCCTGTCTGTCTGTCGGTCTGTCTGCCTGTCTGTCCGCTTGCCTGCCTGTCTGTCTGTCCGTCTGTCTGTCTGTCGTATGTCTGTCTGTCTGTCTGTCGTATGCCTGTAACGAAATTCCTTAGCTCCTTAAGATCTGCCTGGAGAGACCGGGTCAAGCGTGGCATGGGTGTGCCATATCCCGAGAAGTATAAAACACACATCAGCTTGACGCAGCCCCGCCCACAGTGGGCGTGGCGTGCACCGAAATGAGCCGTACTAAGGATCATGATTTCAAATTCAGTCACAAGACTTCTTCAAAACTGGGGTGTAAAGGTGGCAAAGGTGTGCATTGGTAAGTTAGATTCAAGTGGGGGGACCCACCCCCGATGGGCGGAGCGTTCTCCAAAAATGCAATGCTTCATGAAAACATTCATAACTTGGTTTGGAGAAAGCCAACAGAGCAGAGAAAAGTTGATGTAGTAGAAGCATGACAGAGGTGTCTCCAGCATAAATGACGTCAGTGGAGGCGTGCTCACAATGAGCAGAGCGTGCTGCGAAGCTCACATCGTTTCTTACATTTATATACGAAAATTCATAACTCCGGTTTCCTCAGAAATAGAAAGTTTAAACTTGGGAGGAGTACAGGCAACAAGACTGGAACACTAATGGCGGGTGGTAGGACCACATTCCGCCCACAGGAGGCGGTATTTGAGCAAAAATTCATAGATTCTGTCCCCGCAGACCTAGCAGGTTCAAACTTGGTAGTACAGGCAACAGGATGGGAACACTTGGCGGGTGGTAGGACCAGACTCCGCCCACAGGAGGCGGGGTCTGGTCCTATCACCTGGTCATAATTCCGATGAAGGTCTGTAATAAAAATCAGCTCATGTGGCTCCGTCTTTCATGGCTAGAGCTCCTAGCGCACGCGATAGCGTGCGTGGCCGCCTGGTCTTCTAATAATGATTTACCTTAAATTGGTTCCTATTACTGCAATTACCACTGACTTTTGTCGGTCTACTCTACCATATTGCCTTGTCGAATGAAACATTTTGAATTGTCAAAGGTACATCTCAGATACCAAAGGAGTCAGGGTTTATATTGATAGGTGGTTTTTGTCCACTGAGACCCCTTATTAGCTCTCATCAGTTTTCATCAGTTTCTGTATCGGTTACGACCGCTTGGATCCACTGGTGACACAGAGGGGGGTAGAGACCTAGAGAGACCTAATGGCTCTCGTCCTCTAGCTCATTACCAGTCCCTATCAGTTGTGATCATTCCTTGTCACCAATCATCTACGATCCTTTCACATCCCACGCCACCTACTGAAGGGTCAGAGCTCTACTGTTAACACGAAGTTAGTAACGGATCCTGTGGATTTTCCCTTTCAAAACTCCTTATCAGCTTCTATCAATTATTCTCATTGCCTTTAACCTACTCTCAGTGTTCTCATACAACCGAATGTATCCCTTAAAAATTAGAGCGCTCTGGTCTCAGGGGGAGGGACTATGAGTATTATGAATATCAAACATGCTTATACCCACGATCCAAAAGGCACACTCAGGGAATTGTAGTGTTTATACCAATCGGATCGTCCGGCTACCGTCAGGCTCTCCTCCTTCTTGTGTCAGGCACCCTATCCCGAAAAATGTTGAACTGAAGAATGTGATTCCCTTTTTTCAAAGTTTGTTGTTTTTAAGTCTTTTCCGTGTTTAGCTGAGTGAGAGTGTGAAACTGAAACAGAGCTTAAAATCATTATTTGACACAACAAAAATCGAAAACTTATCTCCTTCTTTGATGAAGTTGTAGTAAGTCTAACTCTCCACTCCTTTTTTGAAACAAATAGCAGTTTTCTGGACGAAATTTGACATAGGACTAACAGGGCAGTGCAAGTGGTATTCAGTTAAAGTCGGTGCTTACGCCTTTGATTCTCAAACCTTTGCTCGCTTAGAAATAACCAGTTGACAATGTCGGCGCAAAACCCCGCCTCTTGTGGGCGGAGTTCGTCCTGCCACCTGCCATGAGTGTTCCCATCCTGGTCCTCATATTCCTACCAAACTTAAAATCTCTGTGTCCACGTAAACAGTCATGAGTTATGGATTTGCTACCCAAAATTTCTATGGCGGATGCTCCGCCTCTTGTGGTCGAGTCGGACACACTTAGCGAATTATCTAAAGAAGGATACTCACAAAAATCCGACTGTTAGACAACCAGATGCGATGCTTTGATGCTCGTGATGATAGCACCGTTATCAGATATTTTTTAACAATAGACCCTTTTCTTTACGGAGATATCATTAGTTGANATGAGTGTTCCCATCCTGGTCCTCATATTCCTACCAAATTTAAAATCTCTGTGTCCACGTAAACACTCATGAGTTATGGATTTGCTACCCAAAATTTCTATGGCGGATGCTCCGCCTCTTGTGGTCGAGTCGGACACACTTAGCGAATTATCTAAAGAAGGATACTCACAAAAATCCGACTGTTAGACAACCAGATGCGATGCTTTGATGCTCGTGATGATAGCACCGTTATCAGATATTTTTTAACAATAGACCCTTTTCTTTACGGAGATATCATTAGTTGAGAATNTCCAGATTACAGGAGGTCGAATAAGTTTCGTTGCAAATGTCATCGAGCACAGATGCTTATCGTTTTGCCCTAATGGGTCCCTATCGCTGCACTTACCACTCACTTTTGTCGCACTGCTCTACCACCTCGTCTCATCGAATGAAACATTCTGAACGGTCAAAGCTACATCGTAGATACCGAAGATGTTGGGATTTTGATCGGTAGGTAGCACTCTTAGGTCTCTTATCTTCTCTTATCAGTTATCACCAGTTCCTGTCACCGACTACCTACGATCCCGTCATATCCTGTATCACTTATTAGAATGCCGAGGTTCCACTGATAATGCGAAAAAAGTGATCCTACCAAATTTGAACGCTCTAGGTCCACGTAATTAGGAGTTATGAGTTATGAATTTGCGGCTCAAATTTTAATTGCGCACGCTTCGCCCGCTGTGCATGGAAACCTGTTCAGTCACCCACCATCCCACCATGAGTGTTCCCATCCTGCCCCCCCTCCCCCCCCTCCCCCCCTCCGCAATCCTACCAAGTTTGAAA